GCTGTAGCCAACCCTCCCCCCTGGAGCTCGCGCGCTGGCGGGAAAAACAGGCATCCAGGGCAGGGCTGAGCGCAGCTGCCTCGTTCCGCCTGTACTTCCGCCGGCCGGGAATGAACGCAGCGGCGCTGAGGCCGCCGAATGGAGGCTGGAGACCCGCGCCCAGACCCGAAGCGCGCCCCTGAAGCCCCACTACGGAAGCTTGGCCGCTCTCACCTGAGGAAGGCAACCCCGAAGGACGAGGTGGGGCCGACCTCAAGTCAGCCTTCTTTGCAGCGGATTTGCCCTCGAGGAACGGAATGGTATTGGAGCAGGACTTCTGTAAAGATAACTACGGGTAGTAAGAGGCAGGCCCGCTGCCCTTCTCGAAACAGTAGGAGTACGAAGTAGAGGAAGACTCTTAATTTTTAATGAAAAATTAGGGGGTGGGGGCGATGAGAATCGCCCCTTGCTTTACTTCGAAGCAAGCGGCTTTCCATTTGTTTGGATGTCATCCCCAGCGAACTGTGGCTCAGGTGAACGAGTGAGAATCGAATTGGAAGAAGGCAGGTGTTCTGGCGGTTTCTTTTGTTTTCCTGAGCTGAGCTTTGCCAAGAATGAAGTTGTGGGTCAAAGTCCCCCAGCTACTATCTCCAAATTCCTTTTTCTGCAGTAGATCTTTTAGAGAGACCACTGCAGCACAGTGGAGTAATCTAATAGCCCGATCTCAAGGTACATCTATTGGAAATAGGGAATTCCAAAAACATCACAGGAGGTTATTAAAAATAAAATGTATGTAGGATTTCAACAGATCAGTTAGCAGGGCTGATTCTGTAAGCTGTTCTAGTTAAACATCATAAAGCAAAGTGATCATACGTGCTGTGCAGTACATGTCTTTGTCTTAGAAGTAGGAAATAATACAGGATCTTATTGGAGGGGATCAGTGGTAATTTATTTTTGCCTGGCATGTTAGGGTGGTATTTAATTTAAAAAGCACCACATTAGCCAGGAACCATGACTGGCTGGTTTCTCAAAGTAAAATTTTACAATTGGTGGTAGTTGGTTGCAGTAACCCCCCTTCTTCAGTTGTATTTAAGGTGTCATCAGACTTGAGTAGGTTGGTTTTTTGTTTTTGTAGGATAAGCAGTGTGTGATGCCCTTGGCAATTTCAGAACTGATATTCCAGTTTGGGCATTCTCTGCATCCATGTCTTGCCCACATTTAAAAAGAAAATCAGAGTGAAAGAAAGCTCTCTGAGATATACAGTATTAAGGACCCTGCAAAGCACTCTTAATGCTTCCTGGTTAGTAAGAGGTTAACTTTGTTTCAGCGAGACAAGGGTGCTGGTTTCCTGAGATAAATGGGCAGGAAGTGAATTGTTTCCCCTGCTGGCCAGCAGCTCCCAAATGCTTTTTGCACCTGCTACTCTGCATTTTTCCAGTTCCCCGGCTGCAAGCCCCCCCTTCCCCAATCAAGCTCCATGAGGAACCCTTTCTCTTTGGCTGTGAAAAAGGACCATTTTGCTGCTGCATCTTAATTTTCATCTTCTGTTTGTCTTTGTGACTGTCGATCAGGTCCTGAATTACCAAGTGTCCTGTCCTCTGCCATGCAAGTGTAACACGCTCCACAATCGGCTCAGCACGGGAAGAGTTAAAGATGATGATGTAAGTAGCCAAGTATTTTAAGGCAGATTTATTCAGGACTTTTTGTGTGTGTACATGCACACTGATACTTTCTTAGAAGGGTGGAGGAGCCAAACGATGGCAATGGTAGGAGCTACAAAGGGCAGTTAGCCTTTACCCTGAAGTACCAGATTGGAGCCCCATTTCTCCAGTTGCCTCCGTTCCCCAGACACTGGCTCCCTAGTCAAGTTTCAGAGATATCTGTGTTGGCAAAGAAATTCTGCACATGGGAATTAAATGGTGTGTCTGTGTTAAACTGCTAATGGAGGGGGGTGGGAAATGAAATCACGGGCTGTTTCAAAACTCCAAACGTGCCTTGCGTATGTATCTAGCTATGTGCAGTGATGGTTCAGTTCTATTCCCTTTCTCACCTTATGTAGGATTTGTAGAGATCTTAGAAGAAATTAACTGGGTCTATGTGCTTTTACTGGAAAGTCCACCTATGTTCAGTAGATCTTGCTTCTAAGGAAATATCCATAGAATCAAAAATAGCATGATCACTCCAAACTGCTTAAATCAGAAAACATTGTGACCCAGTTTGGGGGGGGGGTAATGCTTAAAGAGTGGGGAGTCTAAGTTCTACTGTTTCTTACCCACAGAAGCCCACTGGCTAACTTTGGGCCAGTCACTTTCTTTGAACCCAAGCTACAGAGTTGTTGTAGGGCAAACTTGGTCTTGTATTGCACTTAGATGTAAGTGTATACCACATACTGTATTTGCTTAAATTTAACAGGACCTCTAAACAGCTTAATTACAAATTAAGCCCTTAGCATTTCCATATAATCTGTTCTTAGTAAAAATATTAAAATTTATTATCTAATCCCACTTCTCAAAAGCTTGAAATAATATTTAAAAGCAACATTGCTGAAACTAATAGGATTTATTTCCAAATAAACAAGTTATAACTGCACCCTATGCTGCCTATCCAGCCAAGGAAGTTGGTAAGGTATTAATCTACAAAGATTAAATAATTGAATGTTGCTAACTATCTGTGAAAATGGATGACCCATTACTGAACAAAATGAAGTGTTAAGCATGTTTTTTAACCAGGAAAAAGTTTTTGTGATGTGATGCCTGTTTCTCAAAGTCTTGACCTCACCCTAACAGTGAAATATGCCTACTTTAGTCTTAGCTCACAGTTGATGGGTAAACCACACTGTTTTGTTAAGACTTCATTAGTTACTTAGAATGCAAGTGCTAACAGCATTTCCTTTCAACTAAGTTACATAGAACATAATTGACTTTGGCCTTCTTATGGTATTTATTATACTTAATGCTCTTCTTATTGGTAAGCTGTTAGCATTATAAAAACACCCCTGCTGGATCAGATCAAACCTCATCTTACTCTAGCATTTTGTTGCTCATAGTGACCACCTAGGTAAGCTCACAAGCAGGAAATATAGACATCCCCCTTTCCTGTTCTTTTGCTGCTGAACTTGTATTTAGAGATATGCTGCCCCCAATCTGGAAGTAACATTGAGTCTTCAAAAGTACTAGCTTTCCTTGACAGACCTGACTTGCATGAATGTATCCATTCCCTGTTTAAAGCCAAAATAAGTTAGTAGATATCACTCTGAATTGGTAATTATGCATTAATAGTGTGTCAGGGCAAGAGGAGCAGAACCTGATAGTGACTTTTTTTACAGCTCCCGTTTCTGTTGAATCTTTGCATGCATGGAAATTTGTCAATCCATTTCAATATGCCAGCACTTCAAAAATTAAATGCCATCTGTCAAACCATAACAGTTCAACACATTAAAGTACTTCAGTGGCAGAAATCCTATTTGGAAGGTTAACATTTAATATTGGAATATTATGATGGTCATATTCTACAGTTGTAAAATATGTAAATGAAATGTATCAAGCTCAAGTTTTTTTGCATTTACAGTTGAATAATAAGGCCTTTTTGATGACATGTAGGTTTTTTTTAAATGAAAGCAGGATTCTTTCACAATGTTTACAATAACTCAAGAATGCCCTCTACAGTATGAAGACTGTTGTGCAGTAGAATAACAGCATAAGAAATCTCAGCTCGTATAGGTTTCTTCATGTGGAATATGCTTTCAGCAATAGTATTTGTACATTAATGTATTAACTGTACAAGGAAGAAATCCATCTTCTAAGCTAGAGTAAGCATTCTCACAGAATTCATACAAAAATAGCATCTCTGTTGATTGTGGAAGTCATTACTGGATAAAGAGGAGGGAGTATTACTGTCCTTGAAATGTTTCATGTATTGAATACTTGATTTAAATCTTGTAAAATATGACTTTTCCTCAGTAGTTACTGAAAAATATTTTAAAGGATAAAACTACCTGCTTCCCTTGCTTATTATAAAAGAAAAATAATATCCAATGAATAAGTATTAGATGAACTAAGACACAAGGACCAGATACAGTGGTACCTCGGGTCACTAATGCTTCTGTTCACGACCAATTCGGGTCATGAACAGCACCATTCGCAAAATTTTGCTTCTGTTCGTGAACTCCGCATCAGGTGATGAACAG